TAGAAGTTTTTGTAACAGATAGTTAATATTTGATTTCAGATACTGATGCAGATTTATCCATTACAGAGACAGAAGAAGAATGAATACTATAATTTCAGAGTGTAAAAGATTAATAGAAGCTTAAGAAAATGTTATGTAGTGTAAAATTAAAAATAATAAAAAAAAAAAAAACAACAACTTAAAAGTGTGTAAAAAAGAAGTTAGAGAGAAATCTATCAGTTGTACTTTTTTTTAGCAGCAGGTTCACAACAGTTGTAGTGGAATACAAAATGGTCTTAACTTGGCGTTTTTTTTAGTTTAGAAATTGTTCGTTTAATGAATACAGAGAAGCAAAAAAAAGATATTGAAACAAATAGCAATAAAAAGATAAAGTGTGTTTGTAAGATTTTTTATGTTGTAGATACAACTAAGAGTGTTTATTTAGAGAAAGAGTGTTCAAGTGTAAAAGATAAATTTACTTGAATAATATTCAGAAATTTTTATCCACTCTTAACAAAAGGTGCATTAAAAATAAAAATAAAATATACAGCACATGAAAAGATGCGTAACAGTAATTTATGGGGAATAAAATTTGAGGATGTTCAGCTAGCACACTATAATTAGTAGAGCAAACAAGATGATTAAATAGAGGATTAAAAATTAGATGATTAGATAGAGGATTAAAGAGAAACGATGTTTACATAGAAGAACAGTATGGCTATAAAAGATCAAAAAAATAGCAATGATTTTAGAAAAATATTGAGAATAGTTGGAAATATATGTGAGTTACTGATATTGTGCTCTATATAACATTAATATGGTTTGTACACAGAAAAAGTAGAACTAGAAGTAGGAAAATTTGGGGAGAATGTTTCAAAAAAGCTTAAGTTTTAAAAAAAAAAACTAGGTGCGGTGAAGTATCAGAAACGACATAATAAGAAACTTTCAAACAGGGGCGCTGATAGCTTTTGCCCTGCCTGGGGCAGCAACCCTGACTTGTGTCCTCATTTTTATACATTTTTTCTGTACTATTAGTCAAGGATCTTAGTTTTGGAACCTTTTTTGTTTTACACCCCTGCTGATTTGAATGCTGATTAAATTTTAAGCATATATAGTGCCGAAGCTTCGGCTTCGGCTTCGGCAAAGTGGCTTCGGCCGAAGCTTCGGCTTCGGCAAAATTTTAGCTTCGGTACATCCCTAGTAAAAAACTCGAATTGCAAACTAAAATTTTTTTTAATATACTAAAAAACATTTTACTGTGTACTTCAAATTCTTTTTACATTTTTAATAAATGCAGTATAATGTAGTTATCAAATATATTTTGGCTTCTAGTCTAAAAAATACAAAAATTTAGAATTAAGAAAACAAAATATAAATTATGCATCAAATATAATATAATAATAATGCATTAAATAAGCAACATTACTAATCGCCGCAATGAGCTCTACTTATTGCAGATGCCTAATGCATCAAATATGCAACATTGCTAGTCACCGCAATGAGTTAAATTTATTACGGTGTTACAAGTAAACTCGTACTTTTGCACTTGAGAAAAACATTTCTTCCCAATTGCCAAGGAACGAGTATACTCGTAGTGCTTATTTTTTATCAGTTATATTTAAAATAAAAAATATTATATAACTATTTTAAAAATATTTTTTTTTTATTAAAGTGTTGTTATCTATCTTTGGCAATGAGAATGTAACCACGCAAAATTGCCTCGGCAAAAATCAATCATTGCAGACATTATGGCTCGACAAAAAAATAAAGCGTAGTTTAAAATAGCTCAGCAGCGAACCCTGACGTGAAAAAAGAGGGGGGAGGAGGAGTATAATAACAAAAGCTTTTAAAAGTGAGGGGGCTGAAACCCCCAAAGCCCCCACTGTTCCGCCGCTCCTGATTAATTATAAGATAGATTATGATACATATATTGTAGACAGAAAACTTCTTCATTATCTTCAAATACTTTAAAAATGAGGTTTTCCATTTCTATGTCGTAAAATCTTATCTTATCTCAAGAGTTAGCAAGTAACAGTAGCAAAGATACAACTTCTGTAACAATTATGACTTTTAGGCATCACTTTCCAAACTAGACTGAGTTTTATGGTTTGATCCGAAACCAACATGAAGAATTTGAAATTTACTATGAATTGTTTAATGATCTATGCTACTAAAGATGTGACTGGTGTGTTTATTTTTCTTAGATTCGAGCATAATCCTACACTATTATTCATAGATAGTTTAAAAGGGAGTCTCAAAGCAGAGTTGCTGCATGATATAAATAAATATCCATTTTTACCTTTTCCATACTCGGTACAAAAAAAAGATTATGATAGTATAAAAGAACTTCTTGACAAATTAATTATTCTTAGTTCAATTTGGATGTTTATAATGGTTTAAAAATGCTTGCTATATTGCTTGGCTTTATAAATATGAATTAAGGAAGTTATTAACTAGGGAGGGGGGGGGAGTTAGCAGCAGTAGTAAGTTGATAAGGTGCGTTAATCTGCAAATCGGCATAAGTGCAAATTGGTATAAGTGTGAACTGGCATAAATGCGAAGCAGTTGTAAAAACTGGCACAAATACAAACTGGCTTAAGTGCAAAGTAGTTACAGAAACTGGCACATGTGTAAACTGGCATAAATGTGAATTGGCATAAGTGCGCCGAACAAATTTGCAATCATTGACATAAATACGAATTGGCATAAGTGCGAACTGGCATAGGTGCGAATTGGCATAAGAGCAAAATAACAATTTGCACTTATGCCAATATTGGCAATTTTATTCGGCGCACTTATACCATTTCGCATTATGCCAGTTTGCACTTATGCCAGTTTGCACTTATGCCAGTCTTTGTAACTGCTTCGCACATGCCGATTCGCGCTTATGCCAATGTTTGTAAATTTTTTCGGCGCACTTATGCCAACTCACACTTATGTCAGTTTGCACTTATACCAATGTTTGCAAGTTTGTTTGGTGCACTTGTGCCAATTGGCACTTATGCCAGTTCGCACATGTGCCAGTTTTTACAAAAGCTTTGCACTTATGCCAATTTGCGCTTATGACAGTTCGCACTTATCCCAAGGTTTGTAAATTCTTTTGGCGCACTTATGCCAATTTGCAATCATCCAAGTTTGCACTTGTGCCAGTTTTTGTAAATATTTTGCACTTATGCCAGTTTGCACTTATGCCAATTCGCATAAATGCTAATTTGCACTTACGCCATTCGTACTTAAGCCAGTTCGCATTTAAGAAATTCGCGCTTATTTAGTCGTCCCTTTTTTTTAACAGATAAAAAGTGACCTGCTGTTTTGGTTTGTTAAACGAACTTTTTTTACTAAAAGTAATATTAAATTGTTATTTTAAAACCGTAATAAATTGTAAAATATTTTTAGTTTTGCACTCTATATTACATTAATAATATTATTTATAGTTCGGGAACAATAAATAATATTATTAATGTACAACCTACCCCTAGTTAGGGTAAGTTAGCGCACCTTTTTTATTTTTGATGCTCCAGAAGAACTCCAAGAAAATTTATTTGATAATGAATGCAAGTTAAAAATGTTTCATAAATTTATACTCTTTAAGATTTCGCATTAATATTTTCAAAAATATTTGCAGTTAGAGCTACAAAACTTAAAGAGCAATAACAGAGGCAATTAGCCCCCGTCTTCCCTAATATTAATTCCCTGATTGTAACTAAAAAATATTTAAAATGTAAACTTACAAAGTCTAAAGGAGTTTTTTTCAACTTTCTTTTAAAAAGCGTTTAATATTACAAAAAAAAAAGTCTCTACTTAAAAAAACTTATTTTCTTTGTAAATTTTATTTACATTAATAGTATAATACTTTTATATAATTTCATTTTATTTTGTTTTTTTATGTTTTATTTTATTTAATTTTATATAATTCCATATACATTATATATATATATATATATAAATATATATATATATATATATATATATATATATATATATATATATATATATATATATATATATATATATATATATATATATATATATATATATATACCAGTGGGCACAAGACGTGTTTAAAACGTATAAAAAATGTATTAAGTATTTTATTTTAAACGTTTTTAATACGTCTTGTACCCAAAACGATATCTATCTATTTATCTATATATATATATATATATATATATATATATATATATATATATATATATATATATATATATATATATATATATATATATATATATATATATATATATATATATATATATATATATATATATATATATATATATATATATATACATATGTACACACACATATATATATATATATATATAGTATTTTTTACAATAAATATATATATATTTTTTTAGTATAAAGGTATTTAATTACATTTTGAAGTAAAACTAAATTTGAATATACAATTACAGTGTACTTTTAAATATCTATCACTTTTAGGTGTATACTTTTACATAATTTAAATTTGAAAATAATTTTAATTATTATTACAAAATAATATGGTTTATGATTACTTTTTTCTTTAATTTATATGTATATGCAAATTTTACACATCACTTATATAGCAAGAGCATATATGGCTCATTTGTCATCGAACTTTGTATCTTTAGGTTTGAAGCCAAAGTACTAATTTATATTAAGACTTTCTATCTATCTAATTTTCTCTCTTTTTTTCTTTCGCTCTTTATATATATATATATATATATATATATATATATATATATATATATATATATATATATATATATATATATATATATATATATATATATATATATATATATATATATATATATATATATATATATATACATATATACATATATATATATATATATATATATATATATATATATATATATATATATATATATATATATATATATATATATATATGTATATATATATGTATATATATATATATATATATATATATATATATATATATATATATATATATATATATATATATATATATATATATATATATATATATTTTTTTTTTTTTTTTCACCTTACAAACTTATTAAATACACTTTTTATTTATTTATTTTATTTAAAAAGTATTTTCTCCTTCTTTCCTCTTTTATTGTGATAGAGTTTAAACTTTGGAAAAATGTTTTATTTTGGAGATGCGTACTTAACTTTCTCAAGTTTTTTTCTAGTTTCAGAAAACCTGTTTTTGAAATATTTTTTTTTAAAAGTTTAATCATCTGTTTGCGGTAAACTTTATGCATCTGCGAATAAATAAAAACGTTTGCGCAACTATTGGCTGTGTGAAGCACTTTTAGCCAGGCATTAATTTCTACTATAAAAGGTGTGTGCTTGATGCCTTTACCGCTTCTCATCCATGACAAACTGTATACCAAGTGAAAAATCTCTTTTGGGAATACAAGCAAAATAAACACTACACCCATCGTTGTCAACACATAAACAGCAGATTTAGAATTTCTGCGATGTCGAAGTCTTAAGCTCTTGCAAAACGATTGTTCTCGGCATCTTCTTAGTTTTAAGTATATTTCTACGTTGGTAAAAGTAAACACAACAATAAAAACTACAAAACGAAATATAATGAGAATGCAATTTGGTATCGAAAAATTGTAATATCTTACATCCGGTACTTTGCAATTAAAACCATCATTGTTTTTGTTTCGTTCAAACTTTAATCCTATTATATAATGAAGATACACACAAATTGATAAAAGTATATCTATAATTAGGGCTACTTTAATGGTTCCGCATTGAATGGAAGATCCCTTTAAGTTAGACACAATTGCCAAGTATCGATCAATGGCAATAATTAACAATATACCTGATGAAATAGATGACATAATTGGACCTAACGCTGGAATAATTTTACACCCAAGTTCACCAAAGTGCCAATACTGGTATTTATTAAATGTTAAGTAAATAAACAATGGGGGATTTAGAAGTGATGAAAAAAAATCAACTATTCCTAAACATAAAATCAACCAATCAAATTTTAATTTGTACTTTCTTTTAAAACCAAACACGTATACGACAAAGGCATTTCCTACAACTCCAAAAAAAAATACAAGTCCAAAAGAAAACACTAAAAACCATTCAGATTGTGTAGTTTGTTTTGTTTTTTTCCGAGCTTCAATTATCTTTGAAAGAATGATATTAATTGTTGTGTTATTCATAGCAGTTACTAAGAGTTTACGTTTATTGTTTTCTTTTTACGTTTCTAAATGAGAAATATAAAAAGTAATTAAAAATTGAAAAAAAAAAAAAAAAAAAAACTAATAACTTTAAACTAATAATAAAAATAATGCAATAAACAAGCAAAATTATTTCTATCAGTTAATACTTAAGCATTTCAACAAAAAAATTTAGTTTAGTTAAGACTGTATATTTACATTAATTGTAATAAACACACTGAAATAACCATTTGCAAAAATTAGTTAATTTATTTTCTATATTTATGATCATATTTGTCAAGGTTTTGAACTGGTTTAAGCTATGAAAATTGACTACTTTATTTGAAGCTTTTGCGGCTTGATTAATGAGATAGTTTTGTCAAAAAGTGCTTTTAAAAAGTTCAGCTTGGTATCTAAATTTGTGTTCGAATCTGATTTTCTTGAATATTTAACAACTCTGAGATTTTAAATTCATTTAAGGTTAAATTTATTTCATCTATTTTATTAATTATTTTGAAATTTGTATCGAGTCGCCTATTATTTGCCGTATTTAAAGTTGTATTAACTTCAAGTTCATCAGTCTTTCTTCATAGATCATGTTTTTGAGATATATATGATAAGAAATTTACTTAGTTTCTCACCTCTGCATTTGTTTTAATACATATCTTCTTTAAGGTAAGTAGACCATACAGCAATACCGTATTCAAAATGAAGACGGTAATACAGCAATACCATATTCAAGATGAGGACGATAATACAGCAATACCGTATTCAAGATGAGGACGGATATTTGTAATATCAAAAACCATGAACGTCTGTTTATTAATATAACTAAAGGTTTGCTTTAGATGGTAAAGGCGCATTGCTGATCGCATGTTGTTTTCACTTAAACTTAGTCGAGAAAATGATTTTCTCTAGATCAGTTTCTTGGCTAATTCTAAGATATCTTTTTTAAATTATAAAGATCTAAATCCTTTTTATGCATAGACTTTTCTAAAGTTATGTATTTGTCATTATTTGAATTGGGTATGAAGTAATCGTGCTTTGAAATATTTTTTTCTCAAAATTCATAACTTGACACTTTTTATCGTTATTCTTAAAAAGATATATTTTGACCATTAAAATGCTTATATAATATTTTCTTGAAGAGCTGGCAAATTCATGATGTAAAATTATTAATAATTTTAGTATCATTGCATTTAATTTAGATCTGGTAGTTAAACCTTTTGATAGATGACAAAATGAAGTTGACCTAATGCAAAACTTTGTGAATACTATTAAAAACGTATCCAATCTGACTCTATTTGACTAATTACTATTCTTTTTTTCCAATTTAAGAGAATGATTTATGAGAGAATAAAATTGTTAATACTATAATTTATTAATTTAATCAAAAGTCTTTTTAAAGGAACTGTATCAAATGCTTTGGCAAAGTCGAGATAAATAATATCAGTTATAATATTGTTCTCCATGCGAGTTTATGGTTGATAGTCTTTAACAAAGTTATTTTGCATAATTTTCTAAGTAAAAATCCATGTTGTTGCGCAATAATCAGATTATTTCTGATTAAATTGCCCACAATCTCTATTTGAATAATTGATTCAAGAAGTTTACAGGAAATAGACGTTAGTGAGATAAGTCTAAAAATTTCTTGCATAAGTTGAGAATCTTTTTTTAAGATAGGTGATATTTGTTTCTTTTCATAAAATTGGCATTTAGGTGGAAGTCAAAAATTAATCATAAACTGGTAAAGTTGGAAATGCAAGTGATGATCAGCATTAATACCCAAGTTTTCTTGAGCAGAGGCAATTTTGGGAACAAAATATAGATGAATTGAGACGCAAATTCTTATAAAGTACCGACTGCTTTCTTAAAAAAAAGAAAAAGCTCCTCAAAACAAAAGAAATCACCAGACTAAAATTCTTTAAGTAAAATACTAGTTGACATTTACCTATTGAAATTGAATATTTAAGGTATTAGTAATATTAAAAGAATCGTTAACCGGTTTTGGCAGATTGTTGATGAATTAATATTGAGGCATCGGGCATACATTTTCTCTGGAAACTTGGTTTTTTCAAGATCATATTTGAGTCATATTTATGTTATTTCAAGGCCATATCAAATGTCTTTTTCAGACCAGTTCACGTTGTCAAAGAAAGATTTCACTCCTTTGTAATTTTCAATAATTATATATACAAAAATCCAAGTCAGTATTAGATAAAATATTCCACAGTCTACAAGCATCAAATCAACTTCCAGGCTGCAGACTCATTTATATTGTTTAGTTTAATTAACTTTTGATTTGATTTAAAAATTATATCAAAAGTTCCTGTGAAAATATCATCTAGTATTTAAAAAGTTGGAATGTCAACATGCTAGGTTATATAACAATCTCCATCTGCATTAAAAAAATCCACGGTCTGACAACTTTTCATTATTAAAATGATAATATACACTTCCATCTTGCCATAATTTTTTGGGAAAGTTAAAACTCCGAATTATACATAAATTATGACATTAATCGTTATCTAGTTTATTTTCTGCTGCGCAAATTCATTATTCTCTAAATCAGTATTACTGTTTGGGAATGAAGAATGCAGTTAATATTTTTTCCGACCAGTACAGTTACCCATATTTGTTTGCTATTTTTAAGTCTATATTAAAAAAGTTTTTTAGATTGAAAAATG